TGTTTTGTGTGGTTCACGTGGCACAATAGCTCATTTAAATGAAGTGTGAACTAGGCCTTAATCATGGCTATTCGGCCGATCCAAGAAAGCAGATTTGCAGGCCCACACAATTTTTGTGTGTCAACATATTTGGTTTCTTTTTGCTCGACACAACTTTCTCTTATATATTATACCAACAAATGGGGATTCTATTGTGTTTATGCTCATTAAAATAAATTTGGGTGTAACTTTTACTAAAAATATGTAACATAAAAAATGCCAGTACCACCAATTTATTTACAGGGTCTCTGCTTTCAGGAAATATAATTGTGTCGATTTACTGAAACTGGAGTGTGCGAAATCTGGTGCATCTCTGCATAGAAACCAATCAGCTTACAGGTTTTTGTCAAAGCTTAAAGGATAAGTTCAACTTTAAAAAAATAATAATAAATGCAGATCATTTTAAGCACATCATTTTACATTTACTTGGAGCCTAGAAAGCATTGTACCCATGATCAGGTGCCATGCAGGACTCCAGCAGACTTGTCAGTATATCTCTCTGCTCGTACGCTCAACAGCACCGTGGTGGTTCATTGAGAACTTCAAGTTGACAGCCGCTAATGCTATTGGGACTCATAGTTTCCCATTCGCAGAATGAATGACACGGCCAGGCGGGCACAATTTTTAAAATAGTGACAGCTAGTGGGGGGGCGAACCGCTACTAGCTGTCCCTAGATGCAGCAGAGCAGGGAGATGCTGCAGGAGTGGGAACATGTTTCATGTATGTTCCACCCTAAAAACAAGTGGAACATGGAACATGTTCCCAAAGGTGAACTTATCCTTTAATTGAACAAGCTGAAGTTAGATGCTTATTGGCTACCATGCACAGCTGCACCAGATTTTGAACTCTCCAGTTTTAGTAAATCAACCCCATAAAGTGCATTTTCATGTACAAAATGAAAAAAAAAATTGGTTCAGGCAGTGAAAGGGTAAAGCTGAATTGCAGGTATACATATTTTTGCATAGTTATATTGGTCTAGCTTGAACCAATATAAGTATGCATGTTCTATACCTGGTCGATCTCCGTAGGAGCTGGAAATCACTGTAGAAGCCACTGCTACTACACTGCTAGCTGCTTGCTTCCGAGTGTTGTGCTGAGCTGCTGATTACTGAACACAGGGGGTCACTCACTCAGCACAAGTTGCCATTAAGAGAACACTTTGGGGTTGATTTACTAAAACTGGAGAGTGCAAAACTGCTGCAGCTCTACATTGAAATCAATCAGCTTCCATTTTTTTTGTCAAAGCTTACTTGAATAAGCTGAAGTTAGAAGCTGATTGGCTACCATGCACAACTGCACCAGATTTTGAACTCTCCAGTTTTAGTAAATCTACTCCTTTGTGTTTTCCCATTGAATGAATAGCATTTATTGATTCGACTAGGTGGGAATTGTGTTATCATTGTCACCTTGTCCAATCAAAAAACACTTAGCATTTATTGAGAAAACGCAAAGTGCACCCTGAATGGTACCTTTGCTGAGCAAGTGACCCCTATGTTCATGATGCAGCAGGAACAGTGGACCATCACAGGACATGGAAGCTAGTGGCAGTCACTGTATTAATGGTGCCTACTACTGTGATTTCCAGCTTGCTCATACTGTAGATTGGCCAGGTTCAGAACATGCATACTTACTTTAGTCCTAGCTAAACCAACATAGCTGTGCAAAAATATCCATACCTAGAATTCAGCTTTAACTAGAAAAGCTACAATTTCTGGGGAAATTGTGTGAAGTGTTCTTGCCTCCACCAGTAGTCTACAACTGGAGTGGGCAGAGTAACTGGGTGGAGTGGCTTGAGTAACTATTGTGTGGTTGGAGTGGCTGGAGTAACTGTGAAAAGGTCAATGGGCGGCGTGAGTTGCAAACAAATGGTCATATTGTGAAAAGTCTCAGGACTATAGCTTAGCCGTGTACATTTTTAGTGGCAGCAGGGATAGCTGAACGTTTTGATATAAGATTTGTGTAGGTGGGCTTGAAAATGAGGGAGTGATGGCAGTTTAGAAATCATGTCCTGATTTTTCAGCTCACACTCTAGCTTTTGTCAGCTCCCACTCTAGTTTTGAACATTCCGCCATTCATTCCTATGGGACCAATTTCACCACAAAAATGGCGATATTTCGTGAACCATTCGGCGAAACGTTCCACAAAGTAATAGCACACCAATCGGGAACAATCCGCACATTTCGGTATATTATTATATTATTATTATACAGTATTTATAAAGCGCCAATAGTTCGCTCAGCGCTGTATATTACAAAGGGGAACAGAACATGTGACAGAACAATACCAATACAATGCAAAACATGAGGGGATCAAGGGCCCTGCTCTTTCGAGCTTACAATCTAGGAGGGTATATTACTGTCTATGTAGTGTAAAAACTGTGGGAGGAGTTAGGGTGGTAAATTTGGCTATAATAATAAGAATATATATGTGAGATAACAGTAAGTGGTCTTGCCATGCAAGAACACTTAATTATCTGACAGACATCAACTTGATATGTAAACCACTGACAGAATGTAATATCCATTTCTAATGGGGGCTGACTTCGCAAAGAAAGAGTCCCATATGAATGTCAGCTGAGCATACAAAGAAATTGAAGGAAAGTGTTTGTTTTCTGTAATTAGCAAGATTCATGCTGCCATTTCCTGGTACAGGTTTGAAAAGTACAGCCAGTACAATTTACTCTATCTTTTGTGCAATTATTATACATGACAACCATAATTAAGTTATTTCCTTGGGGGATGAACACAGACAAGGGTGAGGGCTTTTGTCTTTTACTACATACAAGGTAGTCTTTGCAGTAATAATAATAAATATATATATATGTGCGTGTGTGTGTAAATATTTGCAGTATAGCTGTAGTAAATAAGTAAACAATATAGTTGGTTGAGCCTGTTGATGTCATAATCAAAGACTTGTCCCCAGTAGATGGCACTGTCACTTAACTTTAATGCTTTACTAATACAGGCCTTAGTGAGGGCAATAGTATGTTCTCCTCAAAGCATATAAAAACCAAAAAGCAAAAATATATTACATTGGAGCTTACAAATCCCGGAATTCGGCGGCTGCATTCATTTGTTTTCTTTTTTCTTTTTACCTGGTGACCAGACAGTAAGTCTGTTATTTTTCAACTACCTTTAACAGAGATACAGAAAAGATATTAGAGTGTTGAGAGTATTGTCTGTATTGATGATATTTTCATCATATGGACAGAAGGTGAAGAAAACCTAAAACAATTTTACTCATTGATCAACACTTTTCATCCATCAATCAAACTAAAAATGGAATACTCAAACACACGTCAACTTCCTAGACACCACAGTATACATCAGGGATGATACGCTTCTCACCTCAATATACAGGAAACCCACTGACAGATGCAACTACCTCCAGAGTTTCAGCTTCCACCAACACACCCCCCCAACACACGAAACGTGCCATCATACACAGTCAGGCCATTAGATACCACCGAATATGTTCTGACCCAAGAGACAGAGATAAACATCTCGGGACACTAGCAGACTCCTTCCATAAGAAAGGTTACAAGGACAAAACTATCAATACCAGCATAAACACAGCCTTGAGAACCCAAAGAGAAAATCTGCTTCAGTACAAGGAGAAAAAAACAAACAACCGTGTACCTCTAGTAACCACATACAACCCAGCACTAGAAGGAATAAGAAAAATAATCAAAGATTTACAACCCATCATAACAGAGGATGGAACTCTGAAAGAAATATTCCAGCAACCCCCAATACTAGCTTTCAGACAACCCCCCAACCTCAGAAATAAATTAATCAGTAGGAAACTTCCTTCTGATAATGATGTCACAAATAATGGAAGCAAACCCTGCAATAAGAAACGCTGCAAACTGTGCAACCAAATCAATCCATCAAAAAGTGTCAGACACTCAAAAGGGATCTTCAATATCTCCGGATCATACAGCTGCACCTCCAGTAATGTTGTGTACCTTATCCAGTGCAGAAAATGCAGCAAAGGATCTTATGTTGGTGAAACAGGACAGAAGTTGCAAACAAGGATGAATTTGCACAGACATACCATCAAGGAACATAAAGAAGATGACCTCTGCACACCTGTGGGACACCATTTCGCACAACCAGGCCACACAATGGACCTCAATGTTTTAGTACTTAAAGGAAATTTCAAATCCATTCAGGAAAGAAAAACTTTTGAACTAAGAATGATAATTCTATTTGACACTAGAGATAAGGGCCTTAATTTGGACATGGGATTCCTCAATCATTATCTGACATTTTTATGACTATTAGCTGTAGCTTGACTCCCTCTGTGTGAGTGTAGTATCCCCCCCCCCCCCTCACTTTGACTGCATCTTATCTCTAGCCTCCTTTTTTTTTTTTTTTTTTTTTTTTTTTCTTTCATCCCTTCTAACATTCTGCTAACTTTGTGAGTAGTACTGCTTAGACCTTGAAGAAGGGGACATTCCCCAAAAGATTGTCCTCAAAATTGTATGTTAGTGCAAATAAAAAAAGTATCACGGACAGTACTCAATTGTTAGAGTGTTGAGACAAACTATTTACTACTGACAGGCATGAGATCAGGTCAGGTTTACATTGCCAGAAATGAGCAAAAACGCAACATTTTCACAGACCATTTTCATAGATTTGCGATTGTTCAAGTTCTGAATGACATTGATCCCTTATGCAAGTGTTTGATGCTCACCAAGATGAAAAGGCAGATGTCACCTAGAGCAGCCAATGTATTTTTTCAGGCCCAGAGATTAAAAGAGAATGTGTTTTAACTGATTTAATATTATTACATTTGATATACATTATTTTTCTTCCTTGATAATTTGTCAAGAAATACAGTAAGTCTGTACATTGGTCCCTTGCAACAATTTAAACATATGTGATATATGCAGGTGTTGTATTTGTTTATGGTGGCGTATTCCATTCTGGAACTTATTTTTTCTGTTTGTTTTTAGGTGGAGGATAGTTTGGAGCTCTCATTTCTTGGGAGTGATGATGTGAAACTTGACATATTTTTCTTCTATGAAGAAGCTGATTATATGTGGAATGGGGGAACACAAGCTAAAAGTGGCAAGAAATTCAAGTATGATTTTTTTTTTTAAATATATTACTGCTGTTTACAAGCAAAGACCATTTTCTTGCTGTACAAAATTAATTTGAGGTTAAATCGAATATGTTTAATTACCCACATTGAATACATTTAGACTTGAACCTAAAGCATGCAGTAGATAGTGCAACGAGGCCTGTAATAAAAAAAAAGCATCTGGAGCACCAAACGGGAGGTCACCTTTTAAGGCAGAGTCCCTGAGTGGCTGGTTCCAACTAACCTTGGTCCCACAACAGCAACTTGGGAAATTATGTAATCAAGCTTGATTCTTGAATCTGCTGTCTATTTAATTTAAGTAACAATATCAGTTGTTTACTTTCTGCTATAAAACATATCCAATAAAATTTTTTTAAAAATCAAGTTTCTTCATAAACGTAGGCCAAAATGTATTCTGCTACATGTCTTTGGTAAAAACAAAATCCCAATATGTGTATATTATATGGTTTGCATGAAAGTTATAGCGTCTACAAACTATGGTATATATACTGGAATTTATACTAATAATGGCGGCAATCAGCGACTTATAGCAGCCAATCAAACACTAGCTGACGCTGGCTGGGGGTACACTAACTGATTGACATTGACAGTAGTAACACTACTACAGTGCTTAGTTCCAAATTATATACAGTCACTATACTAATGGCTGGGAAGGGGTTAACATCTAGGGGAAATCAAGGAGTTATTGTGTGCCTAACAATGTGTAATATGTTCTACTTCTACCAAGGACCTTGTTTTTTTTCCCTGCTTAGCGGGGAATAAAAAACAGCAAGATCCCTTGTCAGTAAACAAAGCTATGTATTGTTTACAATCACAAAGCTCTGTTCTATGAAACACTGAGCTGATCAGCGGGTTCCAGTGGTCAATCATTGGCCAGTATCTGCTGCTCGGCTTGTGCTGTAATGAATCACAGCACAGCCAGGCCGGCGAGCACATGCACCCCCCCCCCCCCCCCCCCGCCCGGGTGCACAGATCATGTACTAGGTACGCAATAAGGCACAGAGTGGCCGCACTACTGCCATAAAAGTTAGAAGTTAGGTGGTCGGCAAACAATTAAGGAGGACCTGAATTTTGCCCATAAGCCTCTTGATCATCTGACTGCCAATCACAGCAATCACATGATTGGAGTGTCCACTTTCCAGCATTTAAAACCTTTTAAAGGGTCAGGAGGCAGCCACAGGAAGGGGTTAAGATGTCCTCTAGATTCTGGGTTGCACAAAAAAGAATAAAATAAATGTATTGAGTTATAACCTTTTTCAGCAATTCTCTCACTAAATGTCCTATAGCCAAACATTGTTGAAGTTGTAAAAAAATGTTCTGCTGGGACAGATATAATATTTGCTAGAATTTGCTTAACATGCCCAAACGTTTCTGAAACAAGTATGCCTGAGTGAAATCAGAACTCCTGATTTGCATACTTATTTATGGTCAGTGACTTAAAAAATACTGCAGACACAAGATCAGTATGACTGCCAAGCAATTAGCATTTTTTTAAGAGATTAATGATTTCCTTTTCAGGCACTGACCAAGTATAACCACTTCCATACAGGGCACTTTTACCCCCTTCCTGCCCAGGCCAATTTTTCTCTTGAATGACAATTGCGTGATCATACAACATTGTACCCAAACTAAAATTTTATAGTTTTCTTCACTCAACTAGAGCTTTCTTTTGGTGGTATTTAATCACCGCTGGGGTTTTTACTTTTTGCTAAATTAACAAAAAAAGACCAAAAATTTTGAAAAAAAACACATTTTTGTTATAAATGTTTGCAAATAAATAACACTGTTCAACAGGTAAAAAGTTTTGGGCATAAAATTAGCTAATCTTACATAATTTTGGGGTGCTGAAAACGAAAATGACCCTAAAAAATGTTGATTGGCTCTAGTTTCCATGATATATTCACCCATCTAATGACGTAAGCCATTCAAAATTATGATGCAACTTCAGCTGCATATTGCGCAATTGATACTGGTGACCAATAGAAAATTGCATGTATACTGAGATGATGCAATATTAGCCTTTAATTGCATCACTTCACTGCATAAAAGCTGCAGTATCTGTAGCTGATTGTAGTTCGACAGCGTCTTTACATTTCGTTTTATGCTTATATAGGCTACTCAGTAATGCCTCGAACTTGTGTGAATAAAGCAGATAATTTCTGCTATATCTGCGGTGAAATAACTTTTATCTCACAAAAAAGGAGGATAACAGGAATGATTAAGAAAGCCTACAACTTGTATTTTGGCTGCAAGATAGGAGACCAGGACAAGAGCTGGGCACCACATATATGCTGCAATTCTTGTGGGACGGCACTGGAGCAATGATTGAATGGAAAAAAGGCATCTATGCCTTTCGCTGTGCCAATGATTTGGAGAGAGCCAACAGATCATGTTAGTAATTGTTACTTTTGTATGGTGCCTCCAATTGTAAAAGGGCTAAATAAGAAGAAAAAGTTATCAGTGCACTATCCAAATATTCCATCGGCAATACGTCCAGTTCCTCATGGAGAGGGGCTATTAATTCCTAAAGCAACAGAATCCTTCGTGGTTGAGTCAAGTGAGGAAGAACCTGAAGCGTGTAGTCACGTGCAGTTGTAAGAGATAGCCCTTTCCTCGAATACAAGAGAAAAGCCAAGAGAAGCAAAACCGACACAAACTGAAGACAAAACTAGTGAGAATCCTAAGTATTAAATTGATTCAACTTAGCTTATGGCTATAATTTTTCTTGGTAATCCTATGCAATATATTATGCCATTTAGGCTTTGTTATGTAGTCAATATCACTTGCTTTATATTTGTGGAAAGACATCTATCTATATAATTATTGTGCATTATGTAGTCATTACGCCTATAGTAGAAAACTTTCTGTTTACAGAAAAACTAGAACCAATTGACAAATTTCATTGTTATATTTGAACTCAGAATGTGAAATTCATTAAGAAATGGATCCTTTTGTTTCCAAAACTGGCAAAAAATAAAAGTTTGTTGAACAGTGTAATTGTTCTTCATAAATTTAGGCCAAGATGTATTCTGCTCCATGTCTTTGCTGAAAATAACCCAAATTAGGATGTGTTATTTAGTCTGTAGGAAAGTTATAGAGTTCACAAACTATGGTATAGATCTGAATATTGATTATTCCTAAAGTACTGACAGCCAATCTAATTTCTTGAGATCGAAGAATGTCAGAACAGTACAGATATCCCTCAAATGACCCCTTTTTGCAAAGTAGACCGTCTTACGTACTTCATAAGAGGCATGGAGAGTTTTTTTGAAGTTGTATTTTTTTTGTCATAATTTTTCGGAAAATTAAAAAATTAAAAACATTATTTTCACTATTTTTTTTACTTACTGTCACCAGTGCAGTACAGCGTCATCATATAACTGGCATGGCGGTGATCAGGGACACTGACTGGTGACAGTGTAAAAAAAAATATATAATTTTTTTCTTTTTTTCATTATTTTAAATTTTTTATTAAATTTGTTTTCTTTTTTTTAAGATTTTTTTTTCATATTTCACTATGTCCAAAGTAGTACAATGTTACCATAGTAACATTGTACTACTTTGGGGAAGTGATCAGTATTTTTGTTTTTACACAATTTGCTCATAGCAAAGAATTACTTTGCTATAAGCAAGCATTTACCTGAATGACATCGATTCATTCAGGGTTTTATTTTTTTTTTTTTCTTGTGTTTAGCTGTGATTTGGCCACGGCTAATCACATGACACAGCTGGGCTGTGATTGGCCCAGCTTGTGCATGTGATCGCTGTGACCATTGACAGCTAGACACACTAGTATACAATGGATGGCATGAATGAAGCCATCCATTGTATACAACTGTCATGTGACCTGCTGTGATTGGTCACAGCAGGTCACATGGTACCAGCAACGGGGCCGGTACTCAGATCTGTCATCGCCGTGTCCGAGGTACACGGCCGGTGACAGATCGCGCCGCAGCGCAGCTCTGCATGCGCGCAAACTGCCATAGGCCGGGCGGAAACCGGTTAAGTATGCAAATCAGGAGTTCTGACTTTCAAGCCTGCATGCTTGTTCCAGGTCAAGAACCTACTGATGCAGGAAACGGCCTGATAACTACTATACATAGCAATGCCATGTCAATAATATCAGCTTTCATCTTTCTCTCTGTACAGTTTTGCTTAACTGCTTCCACGCCACCCTATATCAGAAATACTGCTACAGGGCAGCACGGGTGCGCAAAATCACGTATATATACGTGATTTTGCAGTTCCAAGTAGGTGGCACGCACTCCCTACCCACGCCGCCATTCGTGGCCTCAGCTGTCAATCTGGTCTCTCTGCCAGTGATTCCCCGCTGGCACCCAAGGATTTCCGCCATTTGCAAACAATACAGATCTCTCCCCTGTCAGCTCATGCACACTACTTTGTATAGCTCTGCATTGCATGACCGCGCAATTGTCAGTTAAAATAACGCAGCGCCGGATCGCAAAGAATGGCCTGGTCAGGAAGGGGGTAAATCCTCAGGAGGGCAAGTGGTTAAAAAACCAAGCACCAGAAGCTTTTGTTTTGCTTTTAGTATCCTGGAAACTTAATGTGTGTTGTTTTCATCTTTTCATTGCAGATACTTGTTTCCAAAATTTACACTTTGCTGGACAGAGTTTTTAGAGCTGAAGGTTCAAGTGCCATGTGAAACACTGGATTATATCAAAGCTAATTATGGCAAAAACTGGGATGTCCCTCTTAAAGTTTGGGATTGGAAACACTCCCCACCCAATGTAAAGCCAAATGGAATTTGGCCTCTGGATGAGTGGGATGATGTCATTCAGTTATTCTAGAGGAGTAGAATATCAGCTCTGTCATTGTGACTGAATACTGTGTGGAAACTGGACTCATTGCTGTCACCTGGTATCACATTTCATGGATCTTTCTTTATTTGTAATGAACTTGCAAGTATCGGGCACTTGAAAAGAAATCATTTTCATTTTCAAACGCACACTACAAGAAAGACAGGCTGCTATAAGGAATACAGATTTATGTCTCCTTTTTATACCTAAGAACTACTGTACTCAACTGTGACTTGTCTTGCATGGAATAACATGCTAATGTTTTGTTTTTGTTTTTGATGTATGTGTTTGCTACTAATAAATTGAGATATTATCTAAAAAATAAAATGTTACTATGCTTTCTTGAAAATAGTGATGAGGATATCCCTTCCTGTCGATTTTCAGTTTTGGAAAGTGTTATTGCATATGATGGGGAAGGATTAGAACCTCTGTCAGGTTTTTATAGGTGTCTGTGTACCCACTGTGTAGATTACCCCTCACTTCCTTTTCTAGAGACACACAAGCAATTGAGAGGACATCTCTCCAGTGGGGAAAAAGCCCATGTTTTTTTTGTTGCTACTGGAAAAAGTGTCACCATTGAGAGAGTTCCCCTTTAACGCTTCCCTTACTTTCTGCTGTGACAACTCTCCAACATGGACACAGACAGCAATCTAGAATCTAAAATCATGTGCACCACACTTAACATGGACTGGAGAAATGAAAGTAGGTAGTTGCTTGAGGGGATCAGAAAAAACGTTATAGGCCAGCATGTCATTGGTAAAGGCCATATTTCAAGCAGCTATTCCTGTGACTAAAGTTACAAATATGAAGTTTAGGGTCCATGGGAGTGTAGCCAACCACCCAGGTTGTGAATGCATGGGGAAAATTGATCCCAGATTGATCAGAAGAATAGTGCACATGGTAGACAAAAAGCCAAAGAAAATGTCCAAAAGGACATAAGCTGTACTCCAAGGTCAATGTACATCATTGCCTGATTGCACAATCCATTGTTCAAAGGAAGGAAAAAGACCCAGGACAACGCCACTGTTAAAATAAAAACATATAAACACCAGACTTAAATTTGCTAACATGCCTGTTGTCAAGCCACAATGCTTATAGGAGAATGTCCTTTGGAAAGATAAGACAAGACTGGAGCTGTTGGCAAGTCACAGCTTTATGTTCACAGACAAAAAAAAAATGAGGCTTTCAAACAATAGAACATCGTACCTACTGTGAAACATGGAGGGGGGCCGGGTTATGTTTCGGGGATGGTTTGCTGCATCTGGCTGGGGTGCCTTGAATCTCTGTAGGGTAAGCTGAAACCTCAAGTCTTTCAAAGGATTCTAGAGCACAACGTACTACAGATATTGCTTGTAAAATTGCAGTGACATTTTAATGTTTCTCCTTACCATTTTCATTTGTTTTTTAATTGAAATTAAATTTATTATTTAAATAAATGTAAGTCAAAAATCAAATTTTGATTTTTATTAAATATTGAAATAACAATGATGGAATCCAATTACTTTTATGCAGTTTCGAGTTATTTCATAGAAAATCATGGGCTAATATTTTTCCATGGAAGGGTACCAACAAATTTGTTGTTGCGGGGATTTTACTGAACTAATATTTTTCCATTCTGAAGATACTGGTGCTTGTCTTGCCAGTGTTTTTATGACTGCTAAGTGAGAGAATCTGCTTCTATTATAACTACTTGATCAAAATGATTAAAATATAAATGCATGCATTCTTTTAAGGGCCTTCTGGCCCAGTCCAGTGTTGTCCCTTTTCCTTCCTTCAATCTTCTGGTAATGGGGGCAGTCCTTCCTGTTACACTTAATGGCACTCCTGTAATAATGTGTGAGCAATGCATGTCCAGTATTCCTCTGATGGAATGGCGTGGGTGAATGTTGCCGATCTTCCAACTTGGGAAGTTTAGTGGCAGAGCCAAAGTTTTAGGAGAGCTTTTTTGCTGGAGATCTGTGCTAAATAGAAAATCCTTCAGACAGTGCGGTGCCTAGTTAGAAGTATCACAGCTACACCCCACTTGCCATGGGATCATTATGGCTTCCACCACAGCAAAATGGAGCTTAAAAATAAAATGCAGGTGGGAGATATATAATAGGTATACTATATCTGAGACATAGTTAGTCAGGTTGAAAAAAGACCCAGGTTCATCAAGTTCAACTAATATAAAAAGATAAATATGAAAATCCCCAATATGCAGAACCCTTTCCCCCAGTTGAGCGGGAGGAAAGAAAAATAAAACCCTTAAAAGGCATTGTCCAATTTGCTCCAACATCCCGATCCTCCCAGGCAATTAGATATTCCATAGTTACATAGTAAGACTGAAAAAAGACATAGTTCCATCCATTCCAACCTGTGTGTGTGTGTCTGCCATCACAAACCGTCTCTGGTTATCATTAATGGTGTTCAGCTTTTTTTTTTTGTATACTAATTGAATAATAATAATACACTATATTGCCAAAAGCAATGGGTCACTTCTCCAAATCATTGGATTCAGGTGTTCCAATCACTTCCATGGCCACAGGTGTATAAAATCAAGCACCTAGGCATGTAGACTGCTTCTACCAACATTTGTGGAAGAATGGGTTGCTCTCAGGAGCTTGCTCCTAATCATTCCACGGTCAACTGTTAGTGGTATAATAACAAAGTAGAAGCAAGAACACCTTTAGGATGAATTAGAGTGGAGACTGCAAGCCAGGCCTTCTCGTACATTACCAGTGCCTGACCTCACAAATGTGCTTCTGGAAGAATGGTCAAACATTCCCATAAACACACTTCTAAACCTTGTGGACAGCCTTCACAGAAGGGTTGAAGCTGTTATAGCTGCAAAGGGTGGGCCAACTCAATATTGAACCCTACAGACTAAGACTGTGATGCCATTAAATTTCATGCGCATGTAAAAGCAAGCGTCCCAATACTTTTGGCAATATAGTGTAACAATAATTGATTGAGCTGGCTATAACTAATTTCTGGGAGAGTCTATGCCACATTTTCACAGCCTTACTGTGAAGAAGCCTTTCTGTATACAGAGGTTAAACCTGTTTTCTTTCAGACAAAAAAAGTGCCCCTTCCTTAAAGTGAACAACTTTGCACCAAGTTCACTATAGGAACCATTTATGTATTATTTATTTATTTTAGGTACTTATATAGCACTGTCAATATATGCAGCACTTTACATATATATTGTACATTCACATCAGTCCGTAATCCTCAAGGAGCGTACAATCTAAGGTCCCTAACTCACATTCATTCATACACATACTAGGGACAATTTAGACAGGTGCCAATTAACCTATCAGCATGTCTTTGGAGCGTGGGAGGAAACCAGAGTGCCACACAGAGACAACATACAAACTCCAGGCAGGTGGTACTGTGGTTGGGATTTGAACCAATGACACCTAGTACTACCAGGCGGAAGTGCTAACCACTTAGCCACTGTGCTGCCCAATATACATAATGGTAATATCTCCCCTTAATTGGCTGTTTTCAAAGGAGAATATATTCTGTTCAGTTAATCTTTCCAAAGCTGAGCTCCTACATGTCTCTTTTTAGTTTAGTTGTCCTTCTCTGCAGTCTTTCCAGTTCCCCAATATCCTTTTCCAATATCCTTTTTGTGAACTGGTTCCAAAAACTGAAATGCATATTCCCAATGAGGTTTTATTATTGCTTTTTACAGGGGCAAAATAATGTCTTATCATCCTCCCTCTGAATTCTATTCTTTTATTACAAAAAAGTATTTTGCTTGCTCTTGAAATATAATCAAGTCCATAATCTACCAGAACGCCCAGGTCCTTGTCCATTATTGACTACCCCATTGGTACACCTCCTTGGATGTATGATGCACAATTGTTCTTAGCCCCCAAGTGTATTAATTTGCATTATATGCAATGCATTTAGTGTTCCACCTGTTGTGAAGAAACTATTAAACTATTATTTACTGTCTATTAAAATTACCCATGTTATTGTTGTTATGGTGTTGCTACAATACACACTTTTCAATATCCTTTACCAGAATAACTTTTCACCTTTGCACATCAACATTAAGATCCTGTCAGTGAAAGCTGTGAATTATCTATGCTCCCACCACCACTGACATCATCAGCCGTGATTAATCTAAGCTACCCACACCACTGACATCTGTAGCATTTTGTGGGTTCCTATTTGTCAAAGTTCTACACATAACATATGGCAGTTATATAAGTATAGGTAAGTATGTGCTGTTTTTCAGAAATTACACTGTTGATATGGAGTCATCAAGTATGTAAATACTATTTGCTAACATCACCACAGCCACATGAACATATAAGTTATCCTTTTTCATGTTTCACTGTAGGTTCATTAAAAGTCTTAAATGTGATCTCAGCCTGTAATGGCAGGACAATACATTGACCTTCTAGCTAGAAGTCATGACAATAAATCCTTAAATGTCTGGTCCATGGAGAGGGAGATGTAGCAGGTGTTGTTTTACTAGTATCCACTTAATGCTCAGCAACTGGATATTGCTTTAACTTTTAGTCTAAGAAGACACTTAAAAAGAAAAATATAGCTATACATAATCCCTGAAAACAGAATAAACCACACTGTGTTATAATATTAAAATTTGTAATATTATGCTGTAAACCAGTATTGTTAATTTTCCAGAATATTTTCTATCTGAACCAACCTTTTGGTGTTCATTTCAAATACTGTATTCTTGTGAATCTTTATTTTCAGGTATTGTGCTAAGGTTACCTAAAGGTAACATGCAATGTGATTTTCATATGCATGCTATACCATATGATCACGATTGTCCTTCAACTGGCAATTTTAGACTATCTAGTGTAGTCTTTCTCAACCTTTTATACCCCAGAAGCTTCCTTTAAAAAATGTCAAATCTCATGGAAACCCTACTAAACATTCCTATTACTACCCACGGCACATTATCAGGATTTGGTAAATTGTAGGCATAAGAATAAAAAAAAAAATATGGCACATTTGACACTAGTTAG